GAGGACAGAGGTGGGTTCCTGTGATTGAAAATCTTAAAAAAAAAATAAAAAATCAATCTTGAGTCGTAAGTCTATGCCGCCTGAAGGAGTTGCTGTTGTTTGAAAAAATGGCCGTGAGAGAGAAAAGGGAAAGTTCAAGAGGCCCCGTGCTTATCAAATTTGGGGTGGCTTTGGCCTTTTCTCTTGGTGGGGTTGTTTATACCTTTCTCAAAACAAAGTCTTCCAAATCAGAACCTCAAGGTTAGCTTTCGGGGTTATCACCTATTTTCTTTGGGTCCTAAAATTGTGAAGTTGTGTCTGAAAATTGGTTGGTGTTGTTCAGCTTTTCTTGTTCATTAGTTTGTCAATTTGTGTGTTTTGACTTTTGATTCATGCATATATGTATAGGTAAGGACAGTGAGGCCGATTCGAGAAGGGAAAGGAGCGAGATATCCGAGGCTGCCTTTGCTTTGCAGGTAGAGCTAAGAATCTTGTTCTTTTTTTTTTTTTCTTCTGTTTGAAATTGTATACATGGTTCTAACTGCAGTTGTTGTATTATAAATTGATTCTTGTATGGATCGGTGAATCTCATAGTCGATTGATTCAGTAAGTTGATTCTCATCTAACTGGTTTGAGATTACATATTTGCTAGATTATGCGGGTTGCAGAATGAGAGTAATCTGATAGGTTATTCTTGTTACTTTTGGTTTGTTCAGATTTGAACATTATAACTGTGGGTTGCCACGAATTTGCATGATCTTGCCCGTAAAAGAAAAAAAATAAATATACATTCCTCTCCATTTTAAGCTATCTTGGTATAAAAGGATTCATGTTTCGTCCATGGTATTTGATAACTATTGCAATATTTTTTTGGCTAGTTAACAGTGAGGCCTTTGCATAGTGCATACCCCTGTCTACATGCACTGATTTATTTATTGTAGTTTATTTTTTATTTTTTTTAAGGAAATATTTTTTTTCTTGTTCTTTTTTACAATCATTCATTCTCAGAATTCCATCAATGGAGACAAAGATGGTTTCGTCTTATCAGAGGTCGATCACCTTATAAACAAACATAACATGACCGAGCACGATGAACGCAGCCTAGAGATTGAAAACCTAAGAAATAAAGTCCAAATCCTCGAAGACAGAGAAAGAATGATGGAAATCCAAATGCTCGAGTATTACGGTCTGAAAGAGCAAGAGACAGCTATTATAGAACTCCAGAACAGACTGAAAATACACAACATGGAAGCTAAACTGTATAATCTCAAAATAGAGTCCTTGCAGTCTGAAAACAGAAAATTAGAGGAACAAGTGGCTGATCACGAGAAAGTCATTAACGAGCTTGAGGCTGCTAAAGCTAAGATAAAGTTGTTGAGAAAGAAACTGAGATCGGAAGCCGAACATAATCGGGAGCAGATTCTGAGTCTTCAAGAAAGGGTTATGAAGCTTCAGGAGGATGAAAAGAATGAGAGAGTTGACGGGGATTTAGAAATGCAGCTAAAGGAGATGAAGGATCTGAAGGAAGAGTTTGAGAAGGTGAAGAGGATAAACGAGGGTTTGAAGGCGGAAAATTTGGAGGTGACTCAGAAATTGGAGTACTTGAAGATGCTTGCGCCACTCGGTTTGGAGGATAAGGAGGTAATTAAATTAATCCTTCTCTTTCTGAGTCTCTCTTTTTTTTTTTGGTTATTTTTGGGCAAGTTAAAGTACTGATGTTCTGTCTAATTACAAAATAACCCGATATTAATTTAATGTTAAGCACTTTCTTTTATTTTCCAAGTGCCCCTTGTGACCTTTATCTTTAATTAATTCAGTCAGATTCTGCAATGTGTTCTTTACAATTTCAAGAGGTAACTGGATTATTTTTTCTTAAGATATTTATTGCCCATTCCTTATATTCATCAAGTGTTCTATATGACTATTGGTTACTGCAAATGGATATAAGGGCATCTTTTTAGCACTTTAAGATGTCATTTTGCGATTTTTAAAAAGAAAACAGAATGATATTCGTATCTTATGTTACATATCGCATCTTCATAAGAGGTATAACACCATTCATTAGAGAATATCTGTTTAAATGTAAGGGTCTGCAATTTAGAAAGATATTATATGTTCTCAAGTGAGCCCAATTGATTAATTTCAATACACAGATTCAAGCCCTTAAAGAAGAGAACCACCTCTTGAGACATAAAAACGAAGATTTAACAAAGGAAATCGAGCAAATCCAGGCTAACCGTTGCTCGGACATAGAAGAACTCGTCTACCTCCGGTGGATAAATGCTTGTTTGCGCTACGAAATGCGAAATTACCAGCCTGCCCCTGGTGAGACCATCGCCAGGGACCTCAGCAAAACCCTAAGCCCGAAATCCGAAAAGAAGGCGAAACAGCTCATACTTGAGTATGCAAATAGAGAAGGCTCCGGGGACCAAGGGATAAATATTTCCGATTTCGACTCTGACCGGTGGTCCAATTCCCAGGCTTCGTTTGAGCCCGATGATGATTTGCTGTTATTAGATAATTCTTCGCCTCGAAAAACGGGCCCAGGCCCGTCGAGCAAGTCGAGAGTATTTGCCAAGCTAATGAGGCTAATAAGAGGAAAAGACGGTCATGACCCTGTTGAGACACAAGATCTTGATATAAGCAGAAATTCTAGCAATTCTCATTCGGGCTTCTTGTTGGGTTTGGATTTCGGGCCCGATAGTGATGTAAAGACAATTAGAACTTTATCGGGGACCTCGTCTGCAAATTCTATGGATTTACAGAGGTCCTGTTCGCGCGGTGGGAAGAGTACTGCCGGTGAGAGCAGTGATGATGGTTCTTTGAGTATATTTAGAAGATTCGACTCTGTAGGGGGGTATGATGGTAATTTGTCGTCGGGAGTTTTGCCCCATCAAGATGCTCAAAATGGGGCGAAAACAGAACTGGTGAAATATGCCGAGGCCCTCAAGAAGTCTCATGCAGAAGTCCCGAGACGAAGAAGATCAGCATCTTATAGTTCTTTTTGACTTATTCTCCTTTCTTTCTTTTTCGTCTTTTGTTGTTTTGAGCTTCAAGCACCAATTTGAAGAGCAGGAAATGCTACTGGAGCTTTGATAGGCCTTTTTAGCTAGTTTCGGGTTTCTGTATAGTTGGGTGGTTTTATGTGAAAAAATGATAGGCTTTTGAAAATGCATGTCAGGAAAGGTAAGGTTATTGTAAGAGGCATATTTTTGATGTGCCAACTTTTATTCTGGATAAATTTTGTGTCAATACTTATGAGTTCGTTGCCTTCGACAAAGGGGTATGAAGCTTCAGGAGGAGGAGAAGAATGAGGTTCAATTTGACAGGGAAGGAAAATGAAGGAGGTGAGAGGATGAATTTGAAGATGCAAAATTTGGCGTCCAATATCTAATGATAAAAAATGAAAATTGATTATAGAAAGGAAAAAAAAAAAGTTAGGAAATTGACATTGTGATTGGTCCGATCCTGAACCGGCTCGTGCGATTTGGATAGGGTCAAATGGGCTGGCTCGTGAGGTTTGCTGATTTTGTAATCGTCCGGTGTTCTTACTGAACGAACTGTTTAAGTTGTTTGGTTTAACAGATCGTAGTTTATTACTATTATTTGTTTACGTTTAACTATTATAAACTGTTAAGACTGTGTTTAGTAAAATTAGTTATTACTGTTATTTATTTACATTTTCTTTTTGTTAAGGTTTAAATAACCCATTCTCCTCTTTTTTGGAAGAAGAGACGCTTTATCTCGTTATACTTTAATATATTGATAATGTTAATTATATTATATTTTTAAAATTGATTTCTAATTACAATTAGATATGTATTAGAATATAATATTACTTGGGTTGTCTCACATCGTTTATACAGAGAAAATAGGCCTAATTTATAAGCCTAGTGAGTTATTCCTCCTATCTCTAATGGTTTTGGAATGAAACCTCAGTATGAAAATAGACTTAACTTATAAGTCTAGTGGGCTACTTTTCCTGCCTAATTTATAAGCCTAGTGAGCTATTCCTCCTACCTCCAATGGTTTTGGAATGAAACCTCAGTATGAAAATAGACTTAACTTATAAGTCTAGTGGGCTACTTTTCCTACCTCTAATTGGTTTTGAGATAGAACACCCATCTAGGATCACACTCACTATGACCCATCTAGGCTCACACTCACACTCTTATAGTGGCTTCACGTGCATGGACATGCACCCGTTACCCTCGATTCTTTAATGGCATCATAAGAGGGTGAACTTAGATGCACCATAGTGAGGTAAATCAATTGGTAGTAAGAGGAGACCTAGATGCACCATAGTGATGTTCCATCCAAAAATCAATTGGTAGTAAGAGGAGTAGCCCACTAGGCTTATATAAGTTAGGCATATTTTCCATGTATAAATGATGTGGGACAAGTCACAAGTGATGTTCTAACAATATGAATCAGGATCGGTTTAAATGGTTTAACTGTTCCAGCATTTGAACTTGTGAAGAGTTAATTGTGTAGTCATTCAAATAACTCACCTACTTTTACTTGTATTTTCAATGTGAGACATGTTCAGAAATAAAGGCCTTGAATTTATTGGGCCAATATTAAGCCTTACAAGTAAAATTGTAATCATTAAAAGAAAATGTACTATTTTTTGTATTAAGTTATCTATTGGCTATCTATTCTCATTTTATTGAAGAAGAAAGAAACAATTTATCGTTATTCATTATGCACATAATTTTTATTTTTTTATTATTTTAATCAATAATAAAGAACTCAAAATCTGAAAATAAAAATAGAGTTATTTCTATTCTTTCTATTTTGTAACTTAAATATCGATTAAAATTTCAAATATATATAAAAATTTATCAACATTATTCAACGCTATCTATTATTGAACTCTTATTTAGATAAATGTATACACAGTATATATATTTATTTATTAGACTGCTACTGATAATTACATCTATTCGGTCAACATTAGGTGGACCCTACACTTACGACGCGTGAAGTAGTTGGTGCAATATCAGGTAGTGGGTTACAATTTTTCATAAACACATCAAACACATCACAGAGGGGAAAAAAGGAAAAAAATCCAAATAAAAAAGTTTCGGTTACAATTTTTCATAAACACATCAAACACATCACAGGGAAAAAAAAGGAAAAAAATCGAAATAAAAAAGTTTCTTTGTTATTGGATGGTAGTTTGTTTCCGGTTGGTTTGGTATTAGATTGGTGGTTGGTAAATTGAAACAAAAAAGTTTCTCTGTTATTGGATTGGTAGTTTATTTCCTGTTGGTTTGGTATTAGATTGGTGGTTTGTTTGGATGGTAGTTTATACCGTCTATTATCAGTGTCTATGTTATAAAAAAAATATTGATATTAAAAAATTGACAAACCTTAATAATAATATTATTAATATCAATAAATTGAGAAATCAAAAAAATAATAATATTATAGTATTAGTAATAATAACAATCTTTTTGTTGCAAGATATATTGCCTGTATTAATACACACCAAAGCAACAATCAAAGTCCATCGCAACCGTAAATAGAAACCAACCTTCTACGAAAGCAAGAAAACCAATAGAACTTTCTTAAAAGAAAAAGTAAGTGCATCAATGTTTTAGAAACCTCGTACTATATTGCATGCAGACAGACATAAAACATTTTGTTGAAAGAAAATCAGGAAATGAGGGCGATGCCTTGGAGGAGCAAGCTGTCTGCGAGAATCTGATTGGCTGCCTGAGACGGGTGAACGCTGTCCCAAAACACGTACTCCGTCGCGTTCGGGCACGTCCCGATCGACTTCGGGTTGCACAAAAGTGACGTTGTTTCAATTGTTCCCGTCCCGCAACACCCTTTTGTGGCCTCCGTAAATCCTACAAAACACACACACAAACAACCTTTAATTAAACTACTTTCACCCTCCAAGCATATGCAAGTGTGTGTATACATAATATTACTGGTAATATCAGTATATGATATGTAGTTAAAAATATGACTATACATTTTATACTATTATTCATATTTACAAAAGAAATTGGCTATATTTCATCTCTGCATTCGCTGCTGTTCGGGTATACCGTATATAACCAAGGATATCGATTACATTACTTACCGTTTTTCTTGGGGTCGGCAACAATGTCGTAGAGGGGCTTGAAGACGTCGAAGACAACGATCTTGAGGCTCGGGAGTTGCTTCTGAAGCTGCGACGTGGCGGCGTTGAGTTTCTTGTTGAACCCTTGGGCGTCAGTGTTGATACGCGACACGCAACCGCTCTCGTGAAACCCGAATATGGTCCGAGCTGCCGGCAGGCAACCCAGTGGTGGTAGTGAGGTCACCCCTATCCGCCTTGCCCCTAGCCCGTAAAGGTCCTGGCTCGAAAAAAAAAAATGGAAAAACTCAGATTAGTTTGTCGGGTTTTTTTTTATTTGATTTATTGGACATAGTAAGTTAATTTTGAATAAAGTTGATTGAGTGAGATAATTTTGAATAAAGCCGGATTGAATGAAGATTTGAGTGAGATTTTGAGTTTATATTTAAATAATATTTAAAATATAACGATGAAAGCTGATGTGATGGAAAAGTAAGAAAGAGATTCAATGATAGGTAATTAAAAATATGTTAATTGACACTACAAGAAAAAGATGAAATTCCAACGGAAATATATTATATTCCAACGATAATTCCAATAAATGTTTCAATGCTATTGTTTCCGTTAGAATTTTTCAGTGGATTCTAACAAAAAATCCAACAAAAGTATTCCGTTGGAATGTGTTTTCCATTGGAATTTTCGCTGGATTTTGACGATTACAACGGTAGATTTTTCAACGAGGGTGAAAATAAAAATTTCAACGGAAATTCCTACGGTAAAAAGCCGTTGGAACTATAGTCGTTGCAATCATCAAATTCCATCTAAATTCCAATAAAAAAACACATTCCAACGGAATATTTTCGTTGGAATCATTCCAACGGAAACTATACTATTAGAATATATTGTCATAGGATTTTCCGTTGGAATATAACAACTTTTTTCTAGTGTGATGTATAGTACTGAATTAAAGCTAAAATAATATTTGAGGGAAGATTAATTGATATTATTTGATTAAAATTGTGTTGAATTTTGAGTTAAAAAGTGAAAAAAATGATTTGGCTAGTACAAACCCAGTTAAAATCTGTAGTAAATTTGTTTGTTTACCTTGATGAAGGAGGTGAAGATGCCAACTAGGTAGGATGAATACTGGTCGGGAGTGTAGGCCTTGTTGAGGAAAGGGTTAATGTAGTAATTTTGTATAAAGTCGCTACTGCCTGCAGATACTATGTATAAAGCGTCTTTTATGATGGATGCTGATTTTGCCTGCCCTGCGACTTTTGTTAGTTTGGTTTGGTACTCTTTGTAGTACTGCAGCTGTTGTGACAGTGGAATTACGTGCTGCCAAAATAAATAAATAATTAATTATAAACAGAAATAAAAATAATTATTAAATTAGATTTATTTATTTATTTTTATCTATTTACACTTAGAAGGGATGTGTGATCATCATATCCAGCACCAGCAGAGGCAAAATTGGCGCCTAAGAGAAGGTTTTTTCCGGATGCTTGTGGGCTCAGGTAAGCCGGTGGGTAATTCGTAAATCCGAGGGTCTCAGCTGCAAATAACCAAAACTTGGTTAATGTGACAAGTACAAATTAAGGGAAATTGCAAAATGACCCTTTGCTTTATCATCGATTGATAAATTAATATACTCTACCAGATTAATAGAATTGGACTAGAATTCTTGAACCTTCAAAAACGACAATGTATAATTAAAAGTAAAGTATGATCAAGCTAAAAAAAACTTAAAAATTTAACCTGTAATGTCGGTGGCCAATTTTCCATTACAGAACCTTCCAGTAGCTTCTTGGTTCTTGAAATCCCTACCATAAGGAGGATAATTAGCCTTGAAAATGGTGTGTATATAGTCATTATTTCCCACATCGACAACTGAGTCTCCAAAAGTGATCAAAGCAGGTACCAATGTGGCATCTTGAGAGCTAACACAATTGCAAATTATTGCAAAAGACAGTGCAAATACTAATAAAACAACACTCATTTNGAATAAGGATAGGGGATGGGCGTTGGGATTGCCATTAATGAATTTGCTCAAAATGTAGCTCTGCGCATTAAAAGCTTTTAATCTTATGGGCCTCAATAAATACACCTTATATGTGTTAAAAAGGTAGTATTGAGTTGGTTTAAGAGGTTAAAATTATAAATTCTTGTATGAAGCGGCATGTTACCCTAGTCGATATTTAAAACTTTACTTTAATGAAAATACACATTTATGATGAAATATTATACTTTTACTAATTTTACTTTTTAAAGTATGATATTTTAGTTTCAAATCATGCACATAAATTGAAAAAAAAAAAATTGTTCCCTATTGTTAGACTTGCCTATTGATGGGCCGGAGCATGCATATCTATTGAAAAACTATGATTTCCTAACTGTTAGACATGCGTACTGATTGGTCGCTATTTTCCTCCCACAACGTGAGCCAGAAATAGCTTACAGAAACTCTTTGGTTCATGTGTCATTCGTCTGATGAAAAATAGAAAAAAAAAATGTTGCAAATTCGAACGAGAGGAGTTGGATCAACTACTTCCAAAATAAAAAGTACATCTGGAGTGGGAGAGTCGCAATAGCCTAATCGAGTTAAAATTAGTTAGGCAGGTTTATTTTGATTGGACAATCAAATTTTCTACAAAAATATATATATTTTGTATGATTTGTCATAATTTTCAAAACAACTAGTTTAATATTCTATATATTTTATATAATCAAATGTGATATTTCATGCAAAGCAATGTATTTTCATTTTAAAATAAGGTTAACTAACACCAACTCATCATAGATAAAGTTTTCTCAAACTTATACTCCATATTTCGAGTAGGGATAAAAAAGTAATGCTTTAGCATTTTTTTTTTACAGAACTTAAAGAATTGAAAAAATATCTATTTTGGCCCAGCGATTGAGCAAGGTACTTCGAGAGTGAAATATCATTTTGTGCAAGAACAAACTCATCAATTCATCTAAAACTTTATAAACCTATATATTTTTTCCTTTTTCAACTTTGGAACTTAATTGAAATTGCACATTCCCAATATACAAAGCTTCTGCAAGTCATTTTTTTTTTTTTTTAACATATAAATAAGAAACACATATATCCACCTTTGAATTGATATTTCTGTTAGTTGTCAAACATTAGTTCATCGCTATATTCAATTTTATTATTATTTTATAACAAAAGAAATAAGCAGAAAAGTAGTTGGGGGATAATAAACAGGGTGTGCATTGGATTGCGGCCATAAGGGCGTATTAATGGTTGCATGTGATGCGATTTAATTTTGGTTGACACCAAAATATCAGCCAACTGGAGTCAATTGACGTGAGAAAATATATACTCTTAAAAAATGGAAAAATTGCAATTAAATTTTTGGAGTTCAAAATTGATCCAATGACCCTTCAATTTTAGACAATTTGGTTCAATTTTGATCCGGAATGCCGGAATTTGACAGTCATTTTGTCTGAAACTAGTCCAATAACCTTAAAATTTTAGAGTCCTTGGACCAATTTGGACTCAATATGCTAAAATTTAAGAATTATTGGATAAATTTTGAACATCAATAAGTTACTGAACAAAAATAAAAAACACTATAAATTGTTTGACTACAGTACAATTTTCCCTAAAAATTGGTTTATAGAATTGTATATTATATTGTAGTAATAGATTTACCTTAATAGACAAGTACCTAACCCCACTTTAATATAATTGATGTTTTGACAAATTTCACTGGTGTTACAAATTACAATATTAAAATAAGCCATTTGTCCTTTTACAAAGAGTTTTCACTAATTGTGTTACAGTAAAACAAGCCATCTGTACTTTTACGTTCTATTACAGTTAGTCCTAAGTATTGTACACATATTAAAAAAAATAAAAAAATCATTGAGCTACTTGCAAAGCTTTTGATTCAATTTGTACGAGGTATTAATAAGAATCTTGGGTAAGACTGATATAAAATTTTGTTTAAAAGAATATAATTCAAAAATTAAAATAGAAAGAAGATTTTTTTTTTATTTATAGCGAAATAAATTTAAAATTATAAATGGATATAAGATAGAATAGAAATATAAAATTTATTTGATTAAAAGTTAACAATATATTAATTAATAAGGTTGATAGTTGAAAATATATTGTGAATAAGTAATGTTATTTGCTGGAAAAATTATTTGCGCATGAGAGAGAGAGATAAAACCTAACAGATAAATATGATAAAAAAAAATATTTTAAAAGACAGCCATAGTGTTAAAGAAATTAATTTGGACAATTATACCAACAAGGCGAACTTTTATTTCAAGTGGTTCTTCCATTAAACTTGGAAGTTAAATCTTATATATTTAATTATTCTATTAAAGTCATACTTATAGCTAGTTCACAGTATTGATTCACACTCAATTAGCAAAACAATTCCCCAAAGTAAACATACACCTATCATTTAATGATTAATACACAATAAAGCTAGTTTGAGTAAAATTGGGAAAAGTATCAATTTATTTCATTTTCTAAAAGTGAAATGATTCAAAACAATTGCTTTGAAATGAAAACTAAACCAAAAANAAAGGAAAAAAAAAAAAAAGAATGCATTTGACCTTTCTAAACTACGAGTTTGGTACTACACAAGGTCCATCTTCTGGACTTTTGTGAATGAGTGAAGTCAATATTAAGGCTGAAACTTATGCAGATGCTTTTATTTTACGTACATTGTACTGTAGTTTGTACTTCTTGCCTTGAGCTTACAACTTTGTAAGAGAAATTAAGCATATTGTATGCAATAAATGTCCGTGGGAAGTGCTTTGATTTGCGCAAAAACTTGTGAAAAAAAGTGTTTTTACTTAGAAAATATATTGCCAAGGTTTAAGAATTAATTGTAGTTGACTCTGTATATTTTTTGAACTTTTCTTTCTCCATATTCCAATTGCAGCAGTGTTTTTGATCGTAGTTGCTCCTAATATACTTTTTTGGACTGTATCAAAATATAGAAACAATCGAAAATTGTAAACGAGTTGAGTTGCGCTTGAAATTATGATACTTGAGCTTCACTCATGCATGCTTTTATTGAGTCGATCTGATTGAATGAGTTTGATTTCAGTTTGTTTATCAATATTAACAAGCCAAACTCGAATTTTAATGAGTCGAATTAACCAAATGTTCAAAAAGTTACGCAACAATCTTATTTTCAAGATTTAACAAGTAAAACTCGACTCAACTTGTTTATCAAACGAGACGAGCCGAATTAGCCAAGAATCAAGATCACAAGCGGCTCACTTCGTTTAACAACTTTCATCATAATGTGATTAACATGTAATATAACCTAATTCTTTCAAAAAAAAAAAAAAATGTCATATTCCAATGTAAAATATATTACTACAAGAAAGAATTTCATATTTCAATATAAAAAATCCTACGGTAATATATTCCGATGGAAATTACAATGAATACTCTAATGGTATAGTTTTTGTTGGAATGATTTCATTGGAATATATTTTTCATTAGAATTTTAGATGGAATATGATGATTTCAACAGCTATTTTTTTAATGTTTTTTTACTATATTGGAATATACAATTTCCGTTGAAATTTTTATTTTTATTTTTCTAACGAAATATTTTTGTTAGAATTTTTCCGTTGGAACTTATTGAAAAATTATAACGAAAATAATAACATTGGAATATCTAGTGGAATTGTTGTTGGAGTTCTATTGAAATATATTGACGTTTGAATTTTATCATTTTTTGTAGGTACGGTTGTCAAATTAAATAAAATTACAGTTTTACAAAGTTATTAAGGAAAAAATTCTCATAGGGGTCAACTTGGCCAATCAGAATTAAGTTGTCAATCCATTTTTTCAGATAATGTTGGTGAAGATCAAATTTCAGAAAATTATTGTTTTCAAAAACAATTTTTCTAATATACAACACGAATTCATGTTATCACAACAACTCCTCTTAGGCAACATATTAGAATTGAAAAATTATATAAAAGTAGCCCACTCTAATTATGCAGTGCTCAAGTTTCAGGCAGCCTTAATTCCCTAATCACTGTAGGTGGCTCAAACTCAAAAGTGTCCAGTTAACCAAATCACATGTGATTATTTTCTAATAAAAACAGACAAAAGTAAAAGGAAATATGAAAATATTAGAAAAATAAACACAAAGGGAGTTAGAAACAAGATGAAATTAGCAATTTAGCATATCTCAATCTCAAATTCTAATATACATTTTCATTTAGGAATACCAGCATAATAGCACGAAATAAGCAAATCAACAATCAGAAATAACCTAAATTAAGTGCATTCTTATGAATATAACAAAATACAGACATTTATTTGGAGCTCATTTAATTCATTAGGTTCAAATGAAAGTTGACTTTCACGGCGTGCCATGATTTTGAACCGATATCGGTGAAGAGCAACATCTACAGCACGAGCCGTTTGGTGGAGGCGTACAACACACACAAGCAGGGCATATAGGCCTCCTTGCAAGTACCTCTGTGCACAAAAAATAAAATGAAAAATATTAAAAATGCCAATATATATAAATAAGTTACAAAACTAAGTATATAACTTAGTATTGCAAAATCGACTGTTCGAATAATGAAAATTCCTTAGATGATCGATCGATAGGCCGATTATTTACCTTGGAAAACAGTGTACCGAGCATCACATGTTGGTAAGATTGGAGATAAAACGAAGGCGAAAAGGATCAAAGTCAAGATTATGGACCTCAGATTGTTGCTTGCAGCCATGGAAAATGAAGCAAAAGAACTGATGATTTTTTTTTTTTTAAAAAAAAAATGTTATGTAAGAAAAGAGTATGTTATTTATTAACTTATTATTGCTTGGTATTGGAGGTTTTGGGATAGATGGGTGTATTTATGCATTTTATTTATTTATTTATTTATTTTGTGGGATGATTTAAATATTTAATGAATTCTTTGTATTGACTCGACCAAATAAACGCGCAGCTATGTTTGAAAATTTTGCAAGTCTTTGGATCTAAC